CGACAGCATTTCAGTCAAATTCGTCAGAAATATATATATATATATATATATATATATATATATATATATAGACTGTTAAAGTTATACACCATACATTTCATAGTAGTATACCATATAATTTAAAGTAAAATATATATAAATTTTTCTTAAATTGTTTTTTAAAGGCTGAGTGTAAAAAATCTAGATATATTTTCACATTATTGCGTTACTTTCAAGGCCTGGAAATAATTTTTTTCCCCCATGACTTTTAAAATAAACTTCACGCCAAAATCAGAACTTATCCAAATTACAACACAAAGATATTTTTCCCCACACTCTTGACTAAAACTGTATTTTTGTAGAGCAGGCATCTGGGCAAGAAGCAACAGATCCCAAACATCTCTTAAAAGTCAACTCAGATGAACTCTAAGGACAAGCCACCCTTTATATGGGCCTAAAACACATTACAGAAGCAATTGTACACACTTTGATGCTCTAGGCACCTTTATTTGACACGCTGCCACAGAGCAGCCCAAGTGAGGACAGCGCTTAACAGAGAATGCATTCCCTTCCTATTCTCAGCCGGGTCGCATTTAGACCCCCTTACAATTTCTAAATAAGACTAAAACACTGGGACAGGGGGCTGCAAAGCACAAAGCAGTTTGAAGTACATCTCGTTTGTTGAAAAGGCCGTCAACTCTCATCTATGATGACACAGCTACTTTTTCGCCGATGTAAAATAATAATTCAAACATTTCAAACTCACCTGAGACACCGTTGTCCGATGGTAAGGGGTCTGGGCTTACATGATTGGATTTGTCCGCTCGACATTCCAACAAGAAGCATATACATACAATCCAGAAAGTCACCAATCTGCTGAGCTCCATAGTGGGACAGCTGGTTTGGGATACAAGCGAGAAAGATCATGTCAGCAAACCAACAATCCAACCCCTGCATGTCAAGTCATGTATTAAATTAATCCCAAGACAAAAAAAGGGAAGAACACTGGCAAATGGAACACACTTATGCTGCATCCGAATATGCCTGCTTTCGTACTTCATAGTAAATGAACAAAAACAACACGTGAAAAGAGCAGCATGTCCAAATTTCATTCAATCCATCCATATTCATACTATACAAAACATACTTTTTTAACTAAGTAAAGTTTTTAAGTAAGTTTCAAACTAAATATAGCACCTACTAGACAGTATGCAATTTTGGAGGCCGCTTTAATGTCTTTAATTATGACGCTTATTATCTGCACATGCTCAATAGAGTTCTCTTTTTGCCCAAGAAAAAAGGTAATAGATAAAAGTCCCTATTTTGAAGTATTACTTTTTTTTTTAATGCTCAGTATTTTTCTTCTGCTATATAAATTTAAGGTGCCTCAGAACTTTTTAGTAGTTTTTTAATAGCTTTTCTATTTTATATCTATAATACATAATAAGAGTATTTAAAAGTATACAAATATATTTTAATATATTAATAATGTAGGCCCCACTTACACTTTTGTTTAAATGCATTATTACAAAGGTAAAAATAAAAGTAAAAAAATAAATAAAAAAATTCAGTAAGCAGAGTGTAAAAGTATTAAAACAATAATGTTAGTCATTCAAGAGAATTATTTAAGATACAGTGGGTTAATAATTTTAACTCGTGCTTTGCAGAAATTCACTTCTTGTAATTACTAGGCCTGGGCAAAAAAATAGATTTTTCGATTAATCGTTTTTTTAAATGATGTCGATTTTATATATCGATTCTCAAAAGCCGCAAATCTATCTTTTCTGGTATTTATTTCAGCACACATTTAAAACAAGATCTGATTAACGTGAATCTTAACATTAGTCTTCTCCACTAACGTTAGATGTCACCCTTATTTACCTTGCACGATGTTACAACAGAAAGCCTGTCATTCATTCAGCACTTATCATGGCCATACGCATGATTCGCAATGCTCAGGTGAAATGCTATAGTAATACTATAAATCTGCAGAAGCATTTGATATCACGCATAACGCACCATGATTTCCGCAATGAATGAATGGCGGGGCGTACTGTTTTGTTTACTACACACATACTAAAGCGCGGATGACGCTCGCGGTGTTTTCAGCTTCTGCCGTCTCACTATATGATGATGATATGAACACGAATGTCGTCTCCAGCTGCTCTGAGAGTCACTTCATTAGCATTTTACC